CTGTTGACTCTTTAGAGACTTTAACATGGTCTTTCACTTCCCTGTGAGCATCCTAACCCCCAGCTACTGGCTGTTTTGATGGGAAAACTCTTTTGTGGGAGGGAGACAGGGGAGAGCAGAAATTAAATTCTCTCTTGGAGAGACTGGAATTCCCAATGAAAATTTCGCAAACAGTTTTTCTGTGAATAACTGCAGCTTTTCGCCTCTTAGGTTGCATTATTTTAGAAATTAAAGTAACAACATGCAAATGATGTGCTAGAACTAAGGGGGTTGACCAGACATGATGATTTTTCAAACTGGAACATTTCCAGAGGTTGTATAACACCTCTTTATGTCCTCCCACCCAAAAATATATTGAGACTTATGGGAGGAAGAAGTTTAACAGTTTTCAGTGTTCTTCGAAGATCCACTGCCACAGAAAGTTTTAAAAGACGTAAGGGCCATATTCATGTATTAAGACTATCTTGGATAAACAGGGTAACATATCAACGTCCACATTCAGCATAAAGGAAGGTACTATTAGAAATGTGTTATTTACATGTAAGTGTGTAGGTTTAGAGGGCATCTGTCATATGGCCTGAGACCAGAGCTGTGTCTCTACACAAGAATTTGTCAATGAAAGACTCTGCATGCCTATGGAGAGTATGCTGTCCTTCCAAATGCTCTCAGTGATGTGCAAATGTACTGGAGTTGCTAATGGCTGTTATTGGGGGCTGCTTTTGTGTACCACTGTGTGTGGTACCAGTGCAGAAAGTGTTCCCTGGCATTGAGGGTTCAGCTTCACATGAATGAAACAGGTACAAGAAGGCATATTTGGAGGAAGAGAAAAAAACCAAAAACTAAAGCACAACAGACTTGCCCAGACACCCTAACTTATAACTGGTTGCCATTCACTGTATAAGAATTTTTCATTTCATCTAGCAGTGACAGAAGAAGGAGAGGTCTGAAGGTCTAGGAAGCAACCAGACTCACTGCAACTTGTGGGAGACAGGTTATTTCTATCTGAACTTCAATGATTTTCATCTCCATTGTATATGAGGAAGCTAGAAATAGTCCTTTTTTTGGCACTGGGACATCTGGAGCAGTGTTGTGGCCTGGGAGCTGCCTGCCTTTGCCGTGGTGAGATGGAATTGAGGTCAGGATCAGGAAGCAATAGAGATACCTGGGTTCCAAAGTCCCAGCCTGCACAGTACAGGTGGTATCACGGATCATTCTGGACTACTTGAGCTGGGTGGATGAAAAATATTCTGTGCAGGTGAGTTTATTATTAATTTTAATTTAGCAAGTTCATGCAGTACTGAAAATCCCCTTTGTAGCAACATTCTTCCATTTGCTGAGCGGACAGGCTGCTCTCAACCTTGGTACCTCGTTTGAGTCCTGCATCACGCTCATCTGACACCAATCTCTCCCTGTTTCTCCCTAGGGACCAAACTCAATTGCACTGAGACATGCACTGAAGCTGCCTGTTGTAAAACTGCAGGTCAAACACAACGATGTATAAGCAATCTGTATTTGAACTGGAAATAGCGTATATTATAAACATATTTATGAACATAGTAAACCCTGCCCATGAATGGTGTTTTTTTGAGCTGTTCGTGTGTTGAGGGCAGGGTGAATACCTGACTGCCTGGGATAAACATTTACATTATAGCATATCCTTTACCAAAGGAAGAGGCAGCCTTTTATTCCTACAATGGAGCAGAGAGATTTCTCTGCCTTGTGCTGCAAACCAGAAAGAACCCTCTAGTGCACTTAAGTTTGCTTCTGTTTCCCCCAGTCTTCCCAGCTTGTCACATACAGTTTCTTAATGTGTCTCTGCTCTTGCTTGGCAAAGTAATCCTGCACACTGTGAGTGATAACTTTATGTTAGACTATTTTAGTGAGCATCATCTCTCCTAGTAGCTTCAGTCCAAAACCCACCCTCCCAAAAATAACCACCCTACCAACCCCTATTTGAATAAAGGTCGATGTTTTAATGCAGTTGTTATAATTCTGAACATCTTAAGGGACAGAGAGTCTTAATGGTCAAGAATCGTTTGCGAGTAACTGTTTTTGTTAGGAATTAGGAGGCTGTAAAGAACACAGTTGCCACTAGCATCCTGCTAATTTTGTGGTTTTGGTTTCAGTTTCCCCAAGAGTTACCAGGGCAAATTTCATTAGACACCAGGGAAATGGGCTTTCATTCAAATCCTGCAGAAGGAAACCATCTGGAAAAGTCGCGATGAAATGGCTTATCTTCATATTCTACATCTTGAACTGCAGAATGGTAAAAGAGTGAGTAGGTGAACTGATGAAAAAGAGCTGAAGAAACGAGGTAAAAATGAAGGCTGAGCCTGCCACTAGACTCCTCTGCTTGTATGCTGTTAAATAAAGTTGTTTTTCTTGGCATGCCTCATTTTGTCAAGATGTTGTATGACTGTCAGTGATATGAAAACAAAGAGAATTTATTACCTTTCAAATCAGGACTACAAAGCCGTAAATAAGAAACACAGAGTTCCCCAAAGCCCAGTTTGCTACTTCATAAACACCACTGGTGACCGACCTCTGCTAGTATGTCACATGCATATTTCATCAGCAACAACACTTGTAATCCATGTACAAGTAACCTGCTCCTTATTTAAGAGAAGTACACAGACAGACGTAACCAGTCTTGAAAGGCATGTGCCAGCAGCAAATATCCCATGTAGACCTTAAACTGGAAATGGAAACTGCGAAATGTGCCTCCGTGCAGCATCGCGTGCCAGTCCTTTTGCGGATTACATTCACAAACAGTCCCTAGTTGAGCATAGTCTGCCTGGTAGTGGCAGCGGTGGCAATTCACTCTCCCACGGTTCCCACTCTGTGCGTAATCAGCAGCAAGATCTCGAGTCAAGTCAAAGACCCCCTTTACCGCCTGATTTCCTGACTCTGGTCTTTGCCACAGAAACTCTCTCTAGAGAATTGCGTTTCCACTGCATGCTACAAACATTGCCTTTCATTCCTGTGACAGTCGTGTGACGATACCAACCCAAACTGTAACCAATGCAGAGTTGTTTTCCTTCAGATAGCCCGAAATCCTAGTTGCATGGAGAAAGAACTGCCCCAGTCAACTCAATGGCATGTTGACTCTGGTGCATAAATGATAATAGAAGTATTGATATTGCTGACTGCTTTACTGCAGATGAATTTTAGCCATCCAGTACATCCAAATATTTATACTAAGTTTATATTTCTTCCCATGCCCCTTTGTGTGGAGAATTCAATCAAAAAGATCCTGGAATGGGTCCACTGTGTATATTCTACTATTGATTTTTCATAAGTAAGCTATTAATGTAAGTTAAAAAATAAATAAATGGGGTTTAGAATCACAAGGAAAAGGGAGAAGATATTTATTTTCTGAGTAACTGTTATATCTCTGAAAGAGACAAGAGTTGACATAAAAAGTGCAGCATACAGACAGTAGTTTTCCCCGGCAAGTTGGGAAGGCTGCTTCTGAAGCCTGCCGGATTGAGATGAATGTTCTTGTCCATCACAGCACCTGGTTCTGGAGAAATGTATGCTGTGATGGATTGACAGGTTTGACATAGGAATTAATTCCTTGGTTTTCCTGAGATCACAAGGCAAGTCCTGTCTGGTTCCCCTCTGCTGCTAGCAAGCTCCCTCTCATCAATAACAAGCTCTTGGATAAAGA